TCTAGTCTAATTGGTTACAATTCTTGTCTTTGATGGAAGAGACCATGGTTTGAATCCTAGTATTGATATATTTTTATATGAAATAAAAAATTGATTGTGTAGACGAAAATACCCTTCCTACTTTCACTCTCGTTGCAGGAAATTTGAAATGGAACAAATCAAACTCTTTAAAATGTATTATAAGTAGTTTAGATTAGATTAGATTTATATTAGATGTAACCCATCCCACAAGCTCCTCGACCACCCATTAAAAAAATTAACACGTCCCAAAAACTCGTCAACCGCCCATTGCTTATCAGTCTCTCCCTCATCAGTGGAGAAAATTGATGCCCTGTTTAATTGCCATTTCGTTTCCTGTTTTTTTAGGCAACAAAAAATTTTAGGCAACAAAAATTAAGAAACAAATAGAAATCTTAGCACTGTGAGATTGTCTTGTAATTCACTTTCAAGTCTTAGCACTTTGTTTTCATAAACAATGGCAAGAGGAGAAAGATTAGATTTAACTCAAATGTGACCTGTTTTCTACTAGTTGATGTTTGGGTTAATATTTTATTTTGGTCTAAGTTATACACAAATAGTCTATTTTAACTCGTGGTTTTATAAATTATTATCTTGACCTCAACTCTACACCATATAATCTAATTTGGCCTTATACGTGAATTTCCGTCAAATTAGACGGTCAACAATGTTGACCTATAACAAATCAGCATTCTTTGCTAAAGTGGATGCCACCTACACAATAAAAATCAATATAATAACAATTTAATAAAATAAAAATAAAATACAGAAAACAATTGGGGGAAGCATTCTCAAGTGCACGTAATGCTCTTTTAATTTTTGCATTTTGGCGACCAAAATTTGGGAAGGTGGCACTGCTCCAAATATTCAGTTTCCCCCTGCATCCATTTATTTTGCTCATAATATCAGCGGCACTAGGCTCATTCCAAGCTTCGGCTATGACTGCTTTACTCTCTTCATGGTATGCCCAGAATGGGTCAGAGGGAAAGTGCCAACCCCATTTAGGTTCCTCATCCTCTTCTCCACGTGAGTCGCATATAATCGATCGATGATCCGACCTGGTTTTGTCCAAATGTCTAACACAGGCGTTGGGGAAATTGTCCAACCAGCTATCCGACCTCACAAACCTGTCCAGTCGTTCCTCGATGTATCCTCCCTCCCTTCTTCTGTTTTCCCAAGTAAAAGGGTAACCTTCAAAACCCATGTCCCGACGCCCCGAGTCAGTGAGACTGTTGCGAAAGGCCTCCATTTCGACCTCGGCTCTTACCTGACCTCCTCGCTTCTCTGCCATCGAAAGAACCTCGCTGTAGTCCCCCCCCCCACCCCACATAACCAAGGTCTATCCCACTGAGTGGAGAGCGCCCGTAGGAGCTCCCACGTATTAACTTTTTCCTCAGTGACCGACCAACCATGCATACCCATAAATCTCCAGCAAAGATTACCTTCCTCCACTATTTTCGTATCGATATAATGGGAATCAGTTTTCATTACCGTCAAATCTACTTCCTCATTCCACCAGATACACAAACCCCCAGCTTGACCACCCCTGGAAAGGTCAGTTGGCCAACAATCACCTCCGTGGAACCCAAGTTCTTGTTGGGTCACTTCATTCTCCTCTTTTGTTTGTTTAGTCTCCATTAAGAAAACCACAAATAGCAAGAGGAGAAATATTAGATTTAACTCAAATTTGACTTGTTTTCTACTAGTTGATGTTTGGGTTAATATTTTATTTTGGTCTAAATTATACACAAATAGTCTATTTTGACTCGTAGTTTTAAAAATTATTATCTTGGCCTCAACTCTACGCCATATAATCTAATTTGGCCTTATATGTGAATTTTTGTCAAATTAGACGGTCAATAATGTTGACTTTTAACAAATCAGCATGCTTTGCTAAGGTGGATGCCACCTACACAATAAAAATCAATATAATAAAAATTTAATAAAATAAAAAAAAATCATCTACCATTCAAACTGAAAAAATAAAATAAATTCCCCCTTCCTCACCCTCTCTCCCCACACTCTGCCCCTCTAAACCCTCGCCGCCCTCATCACGGCGTGATTCCTCTCCCCCGCCCCTCGTAGCTCCGGCTCCAGCAACCCCCTGAATGCGTTATTGAGGATTGACTGGTTCATGAGCCAGTAGCAGAGGGGCGGATCAAGATCGTCGCCGCCAACTTGCAGATCCAAGTGCGGGGTTTGTGCACCCTGTAGGCCAGTTCACTACCCGGAGAGTTGGCGATTCCAGTGGGGCAACAAGCTCTTCATGCCCTGAAATCCCATAAAACAAATACAAGATTAAAAAGTACAGAAAACAATTGGGGGAAGGAGGTTCACTCTTATACTATTTTAGGCTAACTCCAATGGAGCCTCTATAAATGGGGGAGCCTCTATATTTGGGGGAAAGTTTGCTCCAATGGAGCCTCTATAAATGGAGGAGTCTCTATATTTGGGGGAGATCTCCAAAAGGATCCCCAAATTTGAGGGTGGAAATGGGGGTTCCCCCAAATATAGAGACTCCCCAAAGCCCGCCACGTGGCGTTTCTTTTTCTTTTTAAGATTTTAAGGGTTAATTGGGGTTTAATTAGGGGATTAGTTAGGAGTTTAATTAGATCAATAATTTTCAAGTGTTGTGTGTAGACCCAAATTAGGTCAATCATTTTTTCTCAACAAAAATTTGGTCTCAAAATTAGAAAACTTTATACCGGAAAATTTGTATTTAAAGATGATGACGAACTATACAAAAATTAACATGAACAAATTATATTAAGACTTCGATAAGTACATTTTTAAGTAAATAGAAAACTTAAAAAATGGAGATCTCCAAATGTAGAGGATGTAGCATTGGAGCAAAAGAAGGGAAAATGAGGATGAAGATCCCCAAATTTGGGGGCTTGCATTGGAGTTGGTCTTACTGCATGGATTTCCTTTTTGAGAGTTGGGGGTTGCGTCAGGGGCAGACCCAGGGGGGTTTAGGGGGTGTCCCCGGACACCCCTAAATTTTAGGAAAACGATTATCCAACCCTGGTGGTAATTAATGTATGGACAAAAAAAATATAATTGATAGTGAGGGACACCCCTTAAATTTGAAAAAATGATTATCATACTGTCATTTGTGTATAGAAATATAAATGGTAGGTTGGATATTTCAAATCTAGAACACTGTTATTATTATTAATAAACTTAATTTCCGTTGAGCTAAACTCATTTGTTGTTTGATTTTGAACAATGTGTAATAGTAAAATGGCATTTCGTATCTCTAATTATTTTAAAAACCTAACAATTAAACTAATTTCAAGCTATCCTTAATTTGTATTGATTTTATGATTGTACGACAAGTGTTGAAAGAGTCTTTCAGCTTTGGATTACATCAAGAACAAGTTTACAAATCGAATATGCGATAAGTTCGTGAATGATTGTCTAGTATTGTATATAGAGACAATTTTTTTAACACTATAGATACCAACTGTATTCTACAATTATTTTCGAATATGAAAACACATCATGGATTTTTTTAACCTGTACGAGTAAGGTATTTTCATATTTACAATTTTATTTTTATTAATTATTTTTATTTTTATTTAATTTATTTTTTAAAATAGGACACCCCTATGAAAAATTTCTGGGTCCGCCACTGGGTTGCGTTGTCTGCTACTAGTTAGCTGGAAATGGAGGTGGACAGGCTCTGTTTTGTGGGTGGGGCGAAGTATACTTATCTACCCTCTGCTTTCTACTTTGTGTTCGGTGAGGAGAGAGTCGGAGAAGATAAGGGAATCAGTGTCTCTCAAACCCTTGCGCCGATGCTAAGTTCGGAGAAGACAAGAGAATTTTGTTTTATTTGTTATTATTTTTGTTATTTTTTACGGATTTTTTTTTGTTAAACGTAATAATTCTAAATATTAGAAAAAATCATTTGAATTCGAATTTTTTAATTTTTGGGGTGACAAGGCAATGACATGTTTCGTTGACCATTCAACTTAATGGTCAACCCACATATCGGGCCAAATTTGACTATATGGTATATAGTTGAGGCCAGAATATCAATTTCTAAAACCACGGGCCAAAATAGACAATTAGTTTATAATTCAGGCCAAAATAAGGTATTAACCCTTTATCTTTTTATTCCATTCATATCTACAACTTGTTTTGAGTTTTATTTTGTGATTAGCATTTAGATTCTACTCATATGTGACCTATTTTCTATACTAAGGACTGAGGCTAGATCAAAATTGAAAGATGAGAATTTTGAAGGAAATGCGGCATATTGTTTTGACCTTGATCGTGATTACCGGATACGGCAGAAGAAATTAAGTTGCATTATGTTTTTTTTCTCTAATAGACTACTAGTAGATTTGGTGGCTTGATTGTTCGTTCGGAGGATTTTATCTCACAAAATTGGTGTTTAGAATCTAAATGATGCATTATGTCGAGAGGTGATATTTGACTTATTTGGATTTTGTAATGTGGTATTGGAATTCCAATTATCATATTTAGCCGAAAATTATTTTACCCAAGGTGAATTGCAAGTTCGGTCACTCGAATTCTAATTTTGTTTCATGTTTGTCATTAATTTTTTTCCCTTTCTTATTTGTCATCAACATTAAACACTTATGTCAACCACGATCACTCTCCGTTCAACTTCATTATCTTCGTACTACGTGGTAGTCAACATTAACATTTCACTATTCAATTGATGAGCTGTCAATTAAAAATAATTATATAATCACAATTAAAAAATATAAAATAACTGTCTACCCACCTTTTCCATTGACCCTTCCTAAACGGCTAAACCCATCTCCTCGGATTCCCCTGCCTCCACCGTATTATAGAGTCCGAGTGGGAGTAGGAATTCCTAGTCCGAGCTGCCAACGGACTTGCTTTTCCTTTACCGCACCGGAAACCAGATCGAAGAAAGGAAACCACAGAAATTCAGACGATCCCCACTCCCTATAAACTATAAAGAGTATTTTCTACATCACTCCCTTGCTCTCATCCAATTACAAAGTAAGCCATCCTCTCCGCCTGTTTCCGTTTTTATTCTTTGCCGGCACAAGCTTCTCTGCCAATCCCGCAAATACGTACACTCCTCCAAACAAAACAGTAATTACTGAAAATGTCGACAGTGGCGGCATCCGCAAGGGCAGAAACAGGAAGTCACGATTCTCATAGTGATACCACCACCGCAACCAGCATCGGCGTCAACAACCAAACCCACTACGACATATTCGTTTCCCTCCTCCCCGCCGGCGGCCCTCCGACACCACTCCCAAACGACTCCACCTCTTCCCAACTACTCTTCGTCACCCAGGTCGATCGCATCTACCAGCCCCGCGGCACCACAACACCGCCGTCAGCGAAATCATCATCAACATTGCCCAGGCAGATCTTGGTGGAATCACATCGCTCCAGATTCACAATCCCCACCGACGACGACTCCTTCGGCATCGAGTCCGTCTCCAAGAAGGTGATGTGTTCGAGTTTGAACATCCCCTTCCCGTTGGAGAACAACATCCACTGGAGATCGCTACCGTCTTCGCCGTCGTGGACCAGAGTAAATACCAGAGCAGAGTTGGCCTCCCGCATCGTTAAAACCGCGCACGGAGTCATGGCAGGAACCAAACGCCGTTACGGTGACATCGACGAAGCGAACAAAGTGGAGGTGAAGATGGTGATGAACATTGCGAAGAAGATCAGAGTTGGAGAGGCAGAGTATAAGCAGATATGCAGGGCGCAGCAAGAGGGACAGGCAATGGAGGACCTGGAGAAGTTTCTGATCCGCTGCCAAGATCATCACGCTGCTTCTTCACGAGGAAAATCGGGATTCGAGAGGATGTCGGTGGACGAACTGAAGCGTGTGGCCGAGGAGCACGTGATTAGGGTTAGCAATGGCGTGGTGATGAGTATGTCGGATCGAGGCTCGATGATCGATTCGGTGGCTTGGAGAGCTTGGAATGAGTGGGGACGATTGCTGGTTTCCAGACTCGGGAATGCTCTGGTGGAAGTGGAGGCGACTTCGAGTAGTGGTGGTGGGGAGTGCAGCATCTGCTTGGCTCCGAAAGTGAATTCAGTGGTGCGATTGCCTGATTGCGTGCACAGTTTTCACAGGGACTGCGTTCTTCGGTGGCTTGTTCACCACACGCCCAACTGTCCTCTGTGCCGCTCCTCTGCTTTACCATCTTTGTACCGCCGTTAGATGTTGCTTATGTTTATGTTTATGATTCTGATTGAAATGTAATATGTAAGGAATGCTACTGAGTTTTGAAAAATGGTCAATATTGGATTACGTTGTTCAAAGGGTCAATGTTGTTCATAGTGTCATGACTGTTCATGTGGTGGTCTTCAATTAACACTTACAATAGTAGGGATTTCTGAGTAGCATCGCTTATATGGGTACATAGTTACAAAACTTGTAAAATCCCCTCTTGCACATAACATTAATCTCAAATGGAAATAAACTCAGATATCATATATGAACCAGACAAATTAATTTTAAAATTAAATTACCCTTGCACTTGCAGTGAATTTTTCACTATCAACCCTCCAAAACCTTTTTTCTTTCTATGGTTCTTCTACTGCTCTGTTTAGCAACTAAATTACTGCTAAAAACAAACCAGAGTTTCCATACACATGATCAACTGAGCTAAACTTGCAGCATTACAGTTGAGCTTCAAGCTTTCCTATTACTAAATACAGCTTGCATATAAGAAACGAAAGAAGGATAGTTAAGAATTAAGTTACTAACAAAAATAACATTTGATCCAGAGAAACCATCACAAACAAAAACATTCGATCCAGATAAGCTACAATGAACCACGATGGTTAATTATCTCCGATTTAATGTTGGTACAACACTATAATTTTTTTTTATCAATAAGTACTAGTTTCTTTTTTCACCATTAGTACAATCCCTTGGTTATGACTAACTTGTTACGGTCCGTTGAGGTTTGGGCAAATACTACATGTAAAAGATGTTTAGGAATGTAGAGTACCATGCATGCGTTATAAAAAGCGACGTTAACCCAAGTTTTGCTCATCTCTAATTGTTTACATTATCTTGAGGGTGACCGCTAATAGAGGAAACTAGCTTTTCAAACAAAAACAAAAAATGTATTCCTATTGCTCAATTCCTGTGCTATGAAGGGTTTGTAAGTATGGGGACGACCTAAATTTGGTCGTCACCAGAATTAAAGAGGACAAGGGTATATGAGATCAAAGATTGGTGACAACCTCTTCGAACAAGTTATTTAGCTTGATATAGTGATCCACCATGGAAACAACCACCTCCTTGAAGCGTTCAAAATCGGTGATGTTCTCTACATTCGCCGTCTAACATGGATATCGTTCTGACTCCATAATTACATAATATATAAAGAGATATATTCTATTACACGATTCATAATTAAATCTCATTACGAAAATATCAAATAAACACCCCAAAACCCTCTACAAAATATCCCAAGAATTCCGAAAAATGCCACCAAACATATATAACCACGAGCACTTCTACTATGATATATAGCATTGGTGCTTTAATGTACAACTCAAAGTTGTACCATAACATAAAATGTATAAGTTTAGGTTGTACCATTAAACAATTTGTACCATTATGTTATGGTACAACTTTACAACTTGAAGTTGTACCATCACATAAAAATACAAGTTCAAGTTGTACCATAAAAGAATTTGCACAAAAAGTATAGGTACAATTTAAACTTGCACCATAAAGTAAATGTACAATTTTAAATTGTACCATAAAGGCAAAAACCTATAGTACCATACTATATAGCATTGTAAAATTTCTCATATAACCACTGATCAAATAGTAAACATTGCAAAAAATTATGTTTGTAATAATCCTTAGAGCCTAGTAAGACATGAGTTTTTTGTAACATACTTAGAACCTAGCTAAACACCAAATTGGTTGGAACAGGACAAAACTTGATTGTTCTACTTGGTTTTCTTTACCCAAACTAATAAGTAGTGCAATCTATTCGTCACCTTACGTGTAAGTTCTCGAAGTGTATGTAATTATGGGCATATGACTCGAAAGAATATCACAATGGAGTAAAAAATGGCTGAGCAGAGGTAAAAAGGATTAAACCTACCCCGAGATGTTGACTGTAAATTCAATTTTTAGCCCATGCATACACATCGTATTCTCAATAAACAAAACTTCTTCATCATGTCGCTGGCCGTTTCTTATGGTGTTTTGATAACAGGACAGGTGATTTCCCTCGCCGGACTAGGACTTGGACTCCCCGTCGCTCCTCTCTACATCGGGGAGATTGTTTCCCCTAGCCAAAGAGGTCTTCTAAACACCATTCCCGAGGTACATAAGTTACTACTTAAGATGCTCGCAAAAGGTTTTTAATTAACTGTGTTTCACGATGAACATTATCGTTGTCAAGCCGGTAGGTAGGATCAGGCCCGACCGAAGCTAGGGATAAAAACGACTCCCAGACAGTCATTTTGCTTTTAAATCAGTCAAAAAGCCTGTCAAAATAACAAAAATCACTAGCCTAATCGGTTTTGCGGGTCTTACACAGAAAGTTGTCTTTTGGGCCTCTCCCAAACCCTATTTTGAAAAAATGAAGTATATATACACAGATTTTCGGATCAGATAATATATTAATTGTTAAATTATTAATTATCCATGTATATTGTTTTTATTTATCACTAGTGTATGTATATTGCTATATATACATGCATTGGTTTCTACTTATATATTTTGTTATGAATTTGTAATACAATTATGCTTGTTCAATCATTAACACTTAGTAGTGGTGATCTCTTTGTTGAAGACAGTTTGGCGCCAAGAGAAGTTTAAATTGAGTCTTAGTTTTATTCATAAACTATGTCGTTTGACACTTTACTTTTCAGTACTTATTGTTCTGTCTTGAGTCAGTTTGATCACGAGTCGTTGCAGTTGTTAGCAATGGCAGAGTTAGTTGGTTAGTCATTGGGGCTATTTCCCAGGGATTGCGATGTTGAGGTTGTTAGTCCAAGCCGAGTTAGAAGGATTTGGATGAAAGTTCTCTGTATATATTTTGCTCTCCATCAATGAATAAAATGTCAGATTGCAATACAACGAGCTTTCATATTGGTATCAGAGCTCTTTCGCAAGCTGTAACCAAGGAATCTGAGAGTGATTGTGAGAAATTCATTTCTGCACCCTTTCTTGCTCTTCTTCTTCTAGCACAGATTGGAGAGCAAGTCGCCATGTAATTTCTTCAATGAGATCATCTTGCATCTCCTCGCTCGGGCCCAGCATGTTAGAGCAGAAATAAGGAAATGTGTGATTTGCAACCAGAGGACTTTCTTGATCATGATTATCATGGGAGTTCTCTTCTAGCGTGGTAGCAGAAAGGTGATCTTGAGCAAGATGTGAGCAAACTTGCTCCACCCACTCTGTTTGCTTCGCTGAGCGCTGAACAATATCCTCCATTTCATGGAGAAATGAGGGATCGGAAGGGGCAAGGGCTTTGATTTGAAGATCCATCTTGGAGCATGATCTCTTAGTGTCTCGAGCAAACTGCTCCACGAGAAGCCTTAATTGTTTGTCGGATCTTACAGTGAAGGGTAGCATGGCTCTGCAGAGTGGCCCGTGAAGGCCTCCATGGCTAACTCCAGCTCTGATGGCCCTTCTAGTTATGGGAGAAAGTCTTCTTGGTAATGAGCTTGTTCTTGATATGCCCAGGGGTCTGATTGTTCTCCGTAGTAAGGGGGTTGGTACTGGAACCCGAATCCATAGTCTTCTCCTCCTTGATTGCTCCAGGGAGTCTCGGGGTAATACCACTCGGTTGGTGGTGATACCACCAATGGTTGGAGAAGCCATGAGGATCCATGATTCAGATCTGCACCAACAAAAACAAAAAAAACACCCAAGTGAAAAGCAAGGGTGGAAAAGAAAAGAAAAGAAAAGAAAAACGCTAAAGTAACAAACTTCTGCCTTTCCTAATAATCTAGAAAGTTCCCCGGCAACGGCGCCAAAAACTTGACACGCTACGACACAACACCTAACAATGGCCAAGTGTAACCAATGAAAGGGACTGTAGTATAGTGGCACAAGTAATAAATATCGAATCCACGGGTCTCTAGAGTTACTATTACTCAACTTCAGTTCATTATCTAGCAAACTATATTAAGGATTGATTTAGTAAACTACTCTACTAATTACAAGTTGGGAACTCACTTAGGTATGATTCCCCCTAGCTCCTCAATTAGGTCCGAGTTGCAATTACCTTTGGTTGATCTACTGTTGATTAAACTGCGGAAGATCCTAAATTAGCTTGTAATCTCTTAAGCTGACCAAGCCCTCTTAGACAGAATACCCGGCAGGCGACTAGGCTTCATCGAGATAGACTGCTAAGGCGATTCACACAGATCTCCACTACTGGAATGAATTCCAGTAAAAAGCAGTGAATTGATTGACTCTCGCACAACCAATTCACCACTATCAATCAAGGAAGCTCTCTTAACCTAATCAGATTCTATCTATCATAGGTTAAAGCAGAAATCAAGAGAAGATGATCAGGCTTCAATTGATTCTATAAATCATGCCTCAATCGATTATAATCAAACAATATAGCATCCAAAACTTCATACAAGAAAGATCCTAACACATGGAACTAGGGTTCCTCAAAACCTAAGTGAAGGGAAGTTACTCCATAGAGAAGAGAGAGACTGCACAAATCTAATCTAGATCTTCAATCTCCATCTCTAAGCTTGATTCCCGAGCTCCAATGGTGAAGAAATCCTCCAAGATAGCTCCAAGAATGTTCCCAAGTCGCTCTCTCTCTCTAGGGTTCGTCCCTTGGGTGTTTGGGAACCAAAAACCCAGTTCTCCTCTCCTTTGGCTCGAAATTTGGCTTAAAACCAGAGATTCCCGACTCACACGGCCAGGCCACACGGCCGTGTGACTCTCCCAGGCTGCCCGTGTGAGTGTGAAAAACGCAGAGTTTCGATTAAGTGACTTCAGCCATCCCACACTGTCCTCTGTGCCGCTCCTCTGCTTTACCATCTTTGTACCGCCGTTAGATGTTGCTTATGTTTATGTTTATGATTCTGATTGAAATGTAATATGTAAGGAATGCTACTGAGTTTTGAAAAATGGTCAATGTTGGATTACGTTGTTCAAAGGGTCAATGTTGTTCATAGTGTCATGACTGTTCATGTGGTGGTCTTCAATTAACACTTACAATAGTAGGGATTTCTGAGTAGCATCGCTTATATGGGTACATAGTTACAAAACTTGTAAAATCCCCTCTTGCACATAACATTAATCTCAAATGGAAATAAACTCAGATATCATATATGAACCAGACAAATTAATTTTAAAATTAAGTTACCCTTGCACTTGCAGTGAATTTTTCACTATCAACCCTCCAGAACCTTTTTTTCTTTCTATGGTTCTTCTACTGCTCTGTTTAGCAACTAAATTACTGCTAAAAACAAACCAGAGTTTCCATA